CCCCAAAACCCCAAAACCCCAAAACCCCAAAACCCCAAAACCCCAAAACCCCAAAACCCCTTTTCTCTGACCGAATATTGAAACAAACTAGAAAATCATACTTGAATGACAGCCGTGAGAGGCTAAATGTCTTTGAGCAAATGTAACTTCGCTTCGATCGAGTCGATGAGCAGACTGTTGATCACGTCGGAGTCTTTGACATTGGTTCCGGTGGTCAACTTCATGTTTTTCTCTTTCTCAATGGCTTCCTCTTCGATCTGTTTGGCCTTGGCCTTGATCGATTCGAGCCTCTGCTTCATGATTTGGTCTTGAGACTTCTTGACCTCAGAGTCAAACCTGGACTGAGGACCTCCTTTGTTTGTGTCATCATAAGCATTCGACAAACTTCTGATCGACTTAGAAGTGGCTCCAGCATACCTATCCCAGTTAGTTCTTTTGTTCGAAGTGTAGTCAGGGTCTTCGAGTTCGAGCTGTTCACGCTTGATTCGTTTCTTAAGCAAGTAGTCAACAACGTAGCCTTTCCTTTTGAGTTTTGGCTTCGGAACCATGGGGTTCTCTCTCATCCAGCTTCGCTTGTTGACACTGAGCGAGTGGGATCGGTGGCCCCTTCCAGCAGACCTGATGTAGTTCTCGTATTGAGGCCGTTCGTTCTGTTTGCGTTGCTTCTCCTCGATCTGCTTGAGCTGGCCTTTGGTGAGTTCGAGCTGTCTGCTCATGCCTCCTTTCTCAACTTCTTTGACGATGTACTTCATTTCTTTCTGCTTCTTAACAGAAACCTTGGGTTTGTGCATTTCTTTGACGAACTTAGCATAGTTGCGTCTTTTGTCTCACTTGAAGTTGACTTGTTCTTTGAAATCAACCAAGGGCTCTGATGCTTCATGTTCTACACTTGAGAGATACTTGCTCTGGTACTGAGAAGGATCATAGTCACCGTAGCCAATGTCTTGGTACCACTTTTCACGCTTCTCTTTCTTTTCTCTGAGTTTCTGTTTGAGTCTTTCAACATACACTTTCTCATGCTCAACAAGGTCTTTGTGTCTGATTGGAGCGAAGTGCTCTCTCTTTTTGCGGAGCAGTTCCTTCTTCTTTTCAAGCGACGGAATCACAATTTTCTTGCGGTAGTTCTCTTCAAGCGACTGGTGCATGTACTTTTTGTTGGAGATTTCTTTGCGATCGTGGTCCCACTTCTCTTTCATTTCTTGGCGGTACCGCTCGTGGTTGCGCATCCTATCTCTGATTTCTTCTTCAAGTTCTTTGCGGAGTTCGGCCTTTTCGATGAGGTCTTTTTCTTGTTTCTCTTTCTGTTTAAGCTTGAGTTCATTCATTTTGGCTTTGGCTTTCTTGCGGTCGTGCTTCTTCTTGGCCATACGTTCTCTGCGCTCTGCACTCATCTTGCGGACGAAGTCTTCGGCTTTCTTGTTTTTCTCTTCGAGGTTGTCTTCGAATGCTTTGATTCGTTCTTGGTAAGTAGCTTCCATTCCATGTCGCTTGGTGTCTTCGTCCACTGGGAGCAACCCTAGTTTGTCTTCAAACTCTTTCATTTTGTCGAATGAAATGCCTTCAAGGTCTTGGTTGTCGACGCTGAGAAGTGAAGCCTTGAGCATGTTCATTTTGTCTTCGAACTCTTTCTTGCTCATGGCATTGGCTTTGAACCGGAGCCGCTTCATTTGCATCGAAATTTCGTTATTTCATGTGGGCTAAAGTGTATTCTTTGACGAGGTCGTCCACTCATGTCTGTTGGTCATTCACATCAAGTTCTTCTTCTTCAATCATGGCCTGGACATAGTAGTTCTTATTTCTTCAGCAGATCTCTGACTCCTTCATGGTAGACTCGTTCGTTAAGCATGTCGATCTTGACTTGCAAAGTGTCGTTTCGTTCTTCGGAATTGTTGAAGGGAAGGGAGAATCCTTGAGGGAATTTAAAGTCTTCAGCAATGTCTAGATCACTCATAATGGCAGCTTTAATCAATATTATTTTTATTCTTATTATTAAGACTTTGCAAGGGGTTTTGGGGTTTTGGGGTTTTGGGGTTTTGGGGTTTTGGGGTTTTGGGG